GAGTGTGTGTGTGGGGGGGCGCTGTATTTAAACGCTTAAAATGCACTGCTATCTCCTGAGCGTGTTTCTCACCCTGGATCTGGCCGCCGTGGCGCTCAGCCTGTCTACCTGCAGCACCCTCGACATGGATCAGTTCATGCGCAAGAGGATCGAGGCGATCCGGGGCCAGATCCTGAGCAAGCTGAAGCTCACCAGCCCCCCGGACGAGTACCCCGAGCCCGAGGAGGTGCCCCCCGAGGTCATCTCCATCTACAACAGCACCAGGGACCTGCTGCAGGAGAAAGCCAACCACCGAGCGGCCACTTGCGAGCGGGAGCGCAGCGACGAGGAGTACTACGCCAAAGAGGTCTACAAAATAGACATGCAGCCTTTCTACCCCGAGAGTAAGTGTCCCGTGCGTGTGAATGGGGGTGCTGCCCGGGGCCTTGGCGGTGTCCGGCACCTGGGAATGCTGGTCCCGGGCATCCCTATCCTTATTGCTCGCTTTGAGCCTCTCGGAGGGTTCCCTTTGGTGGCGATGTCTGTGCTGGCCCCAGACTTGTGGATCCCCCTTGGAAGTCCCTTCCGGGGATCCCCAGAGGTGCCTGTGCTTCTCCGTCCTGCGTACCTGAGCTGCCCCCATCCCGGGATCCCGCTCCCTGCCTGCCGCCGGCTCCGATCCCCGGCTCCCCTGCGGCCCCATGTGCAGCCTCCTAAAATATCTTTCCACTGCCGTTGTTTCCCTTGGAGTGTCTGGATCGGGCAGGTTTCCATCTCTCCATGACTGAAAAGAAAAGGAGGACTTAAAAAAAATAATAGGAAGAATAAATAATAAAAAAAGCCGCCGGCTTCTCTTTGCTCCTCTCTCTCCAGAATATGGTCCTGCAAACCGCTATCCCAAGTGGTGCTCGGGGAGGACAGGCTGCCTCCCTCCCTCCTCTCTTATCCGGCCACCCGCTTCGGTTCGTGGGTGCCCTCGTTTCGGGGAGAGGAGAAGTTCTCCCGCCTGGTTAGCCGGTTCCTGGAACCTGCCCCAGCCCCTCTGGCGCTTCCCAGCGACCTCCCTGTGACCCGCGCCGCTTTTTGAACAAGGAAAGGGCACAAGTGCTCTGTGCTGAGCAAATCCGCCTAGGATGGTTATTAATCATAACAACATGCCTGTCTGTTTTGGTAGCAAAGTTTGAGTGGAGAGAGAGAGAGAGAGAGAGAGAGAGAAAGGAAAAAAGGAAAAGCGTAGCACTCCCTTAAAAGAATCTAGTTCATCATCCTACCAAGGAAAGTGAAATACCAGAAGTAAAAAATAACTGCACCGCTAGCGTATCCAGCGTCTCGTCCCGACGCTTTTCATTTTGCTCCCTCTTCCCCCTCCCTGCCACTTGACGCCCCCGTCCTCGCCGTGTGCTTTGGGAAACCATGTGCCTTGGGTTTAAATAGATAATGCAGCCATCTTGGTAACTTTATCTGAGAGTTTCTAATTCCATTTTCCCTTATTTATTTTTAGTTTTAGCAAGTTGTGGCTTAGGGGCTTGCTCTGTCTTGCATGAGATAGTCCTAGGATGCCAGCCAAAGTATCTGAGCCCCGCACTCTGCAGCTGCCTTCCCTTCCTCCTTTATCGTTAAATGACAGCATCAGGTACAGGACACCCTGGCAGTCAGAGCCATTTTATTATTGTAATTATGGCACCATCCATAATAGCCGTGATAAATACGCTCCACCCTTGTTCCCCTCGGGGGAGAAATACTTTCTGGAAAAAAAAAAAAAATGCGTGGTGTGGAGCCAAGTGGGTCTGAGCAGAGAGGTGCAGCGTGATTTGTAGCAGTCGCGTGGAGCAAGGAGGGGGAAGCGGTGTTGCTTTCTCACTGTGGGGTTGAGGCTGGTGCTGCTTTGCTCCTGGGAGCTCCCTTGAGCAAAGGCTGGGCGGGCCGGCTGTGCCTCCGAGCGCGTCCGTCCCGGCCACGTGTCTCCCCGGCTTCCGCGCTTGAACCTCCTACGGGGAGCCGGGCGTCTGGAACGCGGCCGCAGGCTTTCCAGAAAATTAAAATATCTGTGGTGTGCGACTTGGATGGTGTTGACAAAAGAGGAACTATTTTTAAAATGTTGACGGAGGCCAGGTCTGTGCTGAAGTATCGATAGAGGTTTTGGAAGAGCAGGCTGGATTGCAGGTATCTACCAACAGAGAGCATCCGAAGTTTGGGATCAGAAGGCCATTTAGCAGCAAATCCAGCACTACTGTGCAAGTGCTGTCGCTAACATCATAGTAAGTAGGTTAACTGTTTTTCCACTGCTCTCTAGTTATACTGGATGGAGTGAACCTTTCCAAAAAAGACGGGAGGGAAGAAATCACTCCACCATATTTTAAAGGAAGAAATTGAAAATGCAGCCTTGGCGGCCTCAGCCGCTTTGTCCTGAACTTCTCGGAGTGATTTCTTTTTTTTTTTTTAATTATTATTATTTTTTAACTCTCTAGTTTCTGCCTCGTTCGGGAGAGACAGGAGGGAGAGGGGTTTCGGCGTGAGCGCACCCAAGGTCAGAGGCTGCTCGGAGGAAGGCATGGGAAAGATCAGGGCTTCGCTTTCTGCTGCGAGCTGCTAACGTTCAGTAACTGACTGCAGCCCAAGTATTACAAATATGTTCTAATTATATTCGTAGCCGGCCATATATCACTGCAGATTGCTGATAGGTCTTTGTGGGGCATTTTATAAAGTTCAGACTAAATATTTTTAGCAATGAGGAGATTTAAAAGGAAAACTATAAGAGATATTGTATATACCCTAAGGCATATTTTGTCTTAAATATTATCCTTGGCCAACTGTACTGTATAAATACAGTAAATATGAATAGAACTGGCAAGATGCCAATCTCCTGGGATGAATTTTAGTCAAGAAGGTCTTTATGGGATATAAATAATACTGTGTCAACATTTAAAGAAGGGAACTGATTAGTTTTGAATTTATTCATATTAATCTTTTCACATGCTGTTAGTTTAAGGCTCAAAGTAAAGTTATGCTAAGGTTTACTGATAGTTTGCACTGAGGAAGTAAGGGGGCATCTGGCATCTGGCTTGACAGCCCATTTGAGGTTAAAGATACATCTAGTCAGAATATACGTGGAAATTCAGCAATTTCTGATGGACCCAGAAACAACAGCTGTGAGAAACAGTGATGGGGAAAAAAATGCTACAAAGAGGTTTTGGGAAATGAGAAGGTGTCTGTTTGTGAAGCATGCCTGTGTGTCGTCGTGCTTGCAGCAGCGTGGATTGGATATTGCAACTCTCTCCTTCAACTCGTTTGGCAGCCAGAAATGGAGTTGTTTTGCAAAGCTGTTCAAAGACAGAGTGCAGAGCCCGAGTGCAGGGTTAGATGGGATTCGTGAAGGCTGCGTGCTGAGAAGCAGTTGTCTGACGAGGTGCATGATACTGGTTTCTGTGCAAGTTGAATCACATGCAGCTTTTATTATTCCACAACTCATCAGTGATTGTATAGGGTCAGCTACTGGAGCCAGTTACTGATTTGAGGCTGAGCTCATTTGAGAGCTATTGCACTGATAACTTGGAGAAAGCAAACCCCAGCTCGCATGTGGGTTGCAAATTGTGATACTAATAATGTGTACCTGAGACACTCAAGAAAAATAGGCAACACGTGTTGGTAGGGCTAATGGTGTAATTCTGTCATCCTCATTGATGGCAATCTGTATGACAGTGAGTTGGTCAGTACTGATGGCTTAAGGCTTATGCAAGTAAATGACTCTTGAGTTTTCTGTATGCTGGGAGCCTGTAAATGCACAACAGCCTAAGAAAATCACCGTTCTTTGGGGTTTGATCCTGGCTCCAGGCTCCAGCTTGAGTTTAGAGGTAGGATTTATCTTTTCAGAGAGAGATAACCCATGAATATTGCTTTACATAGACTGTCATTCTGCAGAATATTTGCCTAATGAAAGACAACTTCATAAGCTGGCTGGGCACAATGACATGCTTCTACCTTGTCAACAAGGACTTGATTTAGCAGTGTTTAAACGCATGTGGGCTCCTTGTCTTCAGGGCACTGGAATTACCAGCCCAGAAGTGGCTGGTCTGAGTCTCCCTGTGCTGGCTGCATCCTGGCCACAACATTAACAGCTACTGCTGTGCAGCTCACCTGTGCTTGCATTTAGCCCACCCAACACAGAGCTTAATCTCTTGAGATTTCCCATGTTGTTAATGACATGGAAAACATCTTGAGAGGAATGCCTGGTTTTCAGCCCTTCTAGCTGTGCCGACCGGGTGGCCTGCTGGGCCACCTTGCAGGAGGCCTAAGCCATATGGACCAGACTTGCTGTCTTTGGCCAAGCAGGCCTGAAGGCTTTGCTGGGGAGATGTGCAAGGAGCAGATCTTTGCTACCTGTTTGAGAATGACCTTCAGGGCAGTCTTCTGTGGTGATGGAAAACCTGGATGCTGCAAATGACTTTTAAAAGGGGCAGGACAATAGAAGTTACCTTCTAGGTGATGATAAAACTGCATTGTGGTGCACTGCTTGAATGCTACTGAAGTCTTTGTCCACCTCTGCTCTTACCAAGAGATGGAGAGGTGTGTTGGGATGTTCCTGACTTCCATCTGAATAGTCACTTATTTGCTACAGCCATGTGCAAGGCACCAGGTTGGGAGGGGGATCAAGAGTCTGGTCAAGCCTGGTAAATCCAGGCTCACCATGTTTGTTTTAGAGCAGGAGGCCTCTGGAAAAGAGAAAAGACCCTTTACCAATGAAAGATGGGAAAATTTACAAGACAGAAACATAGGACTCAATTTCAAAGCCTTTTCCCCAGCCCTTTGTGAGTTTCTCTCTGATGTCCTCTTTGAAGAGATACTTTCATTCAGTAGTTTGGTGACTGGAAGAGCTGGCTATGTATCACAACCCTGCCACTCTCCAGCCCTTTGCCAGTGTGGATGTTTCATGATCCCAGAGACCTATTGGAAGGGTCTCCTGGTCTTCTGCTTGTCTTGTCTGCCGCTCCACAGAGCCCGTGTGTGCAGTGGAGGAAACTTGTTGCTGGAGGCCTGCTGGGATGCCCAGCGCTTGGCAGCTCTTCCTGGCTCCTTTTCCATGGCAGGACCAGGTGTGAGTAGGAGACGGCACAAAGAAAGCAGTATCATCTTAATCTATTTTAGTTGCTGATTTTAGTCTGTCTTGGTGCCATGTGTAAGAACAGTAGCGCTGTTCTAGAGTCTTATCTTCATTTGAGATCTGTCATTTGGGCATTAGAGCCCAGGGAAAAAGAAATACTTTGGAAAGGGAAAGAAAAGGCCCCCCAAAAAGCCTCACCCTGTTGGGCAGCAGGCTACTTTTGCCTCTGCAGTATCTCTGCTAGGCCCTTTCCATGTTACAGACGAAGAGGAGACTCCCAGCGTATCCTGACAAAACAAGTCATTA